TATATATATTTTTAACCGACAGCGTGTCTAACAGCTTGTCAGCCTCGAGAAATTTTGCACCTAAACTAGCTGCTGTAATCAGCATACATATTACCCAGCAATCATCTTTACGTGTCTATATATGACAAAAATTACAAAAGAAATTAAGAAATTATTAGTTTAACTTAATAGTTTATGTAGAACAAGCACATTTTGTTGTAGATTGATTCTATTTTACAAAAACAGAAAGCCATGATGGAGATGGGTTTGCCTTTTTGAGGGCATTTATGGAAAATCGCACCATTTTTGATATAACGTGAGTTCTTCTTTGAACAGGGTCATGTTTCCAGGTGACAATCAGGCCCCTCCACCCCATGGGCCCCAGTGCAACTGCCTGCACTGTCTATATTTACAGCCCTGGTCTTGCTCCTACGTACACCCCTTTGCACATCTGTTCAAGGGGCCCATTTTCTTATAATTCACCATGTTTACACCACAAACCGGTGCATTAAAATTCACCAGAGTGCAGTAAATTAAGTAAATATCCCCCACACTGAAACAATACCTGTGCCCTTGCATGTTGAGATACATGTGTGCTACAGGAGTTGTTATTAGACCTGAGAAAATGTCTGATTAGTTAATCAGCTCTTATCCTTACTGCAGCTTTATCAATAGAGGGCCAGCCAAGAGTGACAGCTCTCAGAGGCTCTACATGTAGGTCAATCACCTGCAGTGTTTACACACAAACAAGCACAGACTTCACATGCAGGACAGAGGAAGAATAAAATCAGTCATCACCTTCTTCAGGCAAACTCTGGATCACTTTAACTGCAGCAACAAATTTCGCCTCCAGGCTGCGTTTGTCCTCCTCCTGCGCCATGCTGAGCCCCACCGAGGATGACATGAAGGAGTCCTCACATCTGAAACAACAATATCAAGCAATTAATGGAGAGATCAAGGCAGTTCAGGAAGTGTGCAGCAAAGAGACACCTGGACACAGTGTGGTCATCACTGCAGCTAGTTGGCACCTGTCTTATCTGAGCTGGAGGACTGGTTCCTCTTTAATCTGAGATTTTAGGATAAATGTGGTCTGTCTAAAAAAACCCCTGTCGGGTTAGCACCAATAGACTATAATCTTTGACAGTAATGATCCCTGCTATGGCTGCATTGTTAGAAACTCACCCCAAAGTTCATGTTCGCTGGTGCAATAATAATTTCATTAGCCCGGTGTTTGTCTGCAATATGCAGCAGAAAGCCAATTTCGACTCCGGTCAAGGATGAGCCAAACAGTCAGCGTCTGCTCACTAGGGGTTTCTGGGAAATGTAGTTTTCATGGAAGAGAATTCCACATAATAGTGGGTTAAAACGCACCGACGACTCCTTCAAGTCCCACAAACCCCACTCAGCCGGGATTTAAACCGCAGTGGTGTGTGGGAAATGTAGTCTCGTGAGGTTATCCCTTACAGAGCAAAATAGCACTGAGGAACACAGGCCTTATGTAAATTCTTTATAAGGATACATGTTGTGACACCATGCAGGGAATTTTAACAGTGTTTTCCTTAAATAGGCCCCATATCATATAGACTCACATATAATGTAGGCTTATATGACTTCATTTCAAATTGATTTCAAATCTGTAGAGTCGTTTAATTATTTTTTATTCATGTTTTGAAAAAATATAGAATTACCATTGTTTAAAAAATGTTTTAAAAAGTGTTTATGTTGGCTGCTACCTTTCTGCCATTACTCCAAAGCTTCCATAATATTTTAGGCTTGATATTCAGTTTATGTTTGGTAATTGTGATGAATGTAATGTAGTGCTGATGTTAGTTGTTGTTTAGTAACTGCAAAATCATCCTCACCTTTACAGATATGTGCTTTGACATTATCTTGTTTCAAATAACATATTTTCATGTTTTGTGAGGGTTTTTGTCCCAAATGAAAAAATGAATAAAAAGGGTGGAGGTAATGTGTTGCATGATACCATATGTAAATATGAATCCTGCATGAATAACATATGAATATCGTTTTTAACTGAGATAATATGTTATTATTCATGTCACATGTATTGTTTTATAAGAATGACAATCCTTTATTTTATGACAATATCAGAAAACTAAATATCTTGCTATAACAACAATAGGTTAATGATGATAAAACAAAAACAATAATGATTATAACAGCAACAGCAACAATATTAATGGTCATTATCAAAATAAAAATGTGTATTATTATTATTATTATTATTATTATTACTATTACTATTATCATTGTTATTAGTAGTAATAGTAGTAGTGGGAATATATGTGTATTACTGTTGTTGTTGTTGTTGTTGTTGTTGTTGTTATTATCATTATTATTATTAGTAGTAGTAGTAGTAGCTGTAGTAGCAGCAGTAGTGGTAATAGTATATGTATTAGTATTTATATCACTTGTATCGACATTATTTTTTAATCCTAACCCTTTTAACATAATTTTTAAATTAATATTAGTTTTTTTCTTCATTATTCTTGATTGAACAAACATAAATACATCAACATGATATACACACAGAAGTAACCACACCAGGGGTACATATATTGAGGAAAAAATTAAAGACAAGGAGAAAAAAAAACAAAAAACAAGACAAATAATTTAAAAAAGTAATGTAAATCCAAAGACCTCCTCATCAGTTCATGTGGATTCATTAAACACATTGTACGTTTGTAATGCCTTTTTTTGTGGTGCCATTTTGTTGTAGTTCTTGATAGAAAAGTTTAAAGTATAGTTCTTCTGGTGAATGTGAAATTTCCTCAATAATAAAATCAACTGTGCAAAAAATACATATAATAGGTTTCTGTACCTCATTAATTTATATTATCTTTCACTGAACCAGACTGAACATGTCTCTGATGGACTTATACGTCATTACAGTGAGCTGTCATTGGTCTGCCGCTCTTCTCCCTCGGCCTCCCAGCCAATCAGCGACCACGGTTCCTAACGTAGCTGCCATTTGTCACAGGCTGTTGTGAATCGGAGGCCAGCGGCCCCACAATGCCAGGCGGGGGAGCCCCTCTCTCAGCTACACACCACAGCATCACCGCCTCGCCTCACTGAAAAGGACACAGAGAGGAGAGAAATGCAAAGGGATGTAAGATGGCAGAGCTACAAATGCTATTAGAGGAGGAGATCCCTGCCGGTAAAAGAGCTCTCGTGGAAAGCTACCAGAACCTGTCCCGGGTCGCGGAATACTGTGAGAACAATTATGTTCAGGTAAGAGACGGTTAACGGCCGTTAAATTTGGAGGATTTCTCCGCTCGCTCCGTCGTGTCTGCGGTGCTGTAGTAGAAGTGAGCGTAACCACAGGGACAGGAAATGCTGGTCGTAACGAAAGGGATCCTCAAACCGCTAGCTACACGTAACGTTAGTGGCCTTTTGTAATCTTTTGTAATGACTCAGTGGCGGCTCGGTGCCGTGTCATTCTGTAACGGCTGTAGTCCGTTATTTTCTCGTTTCGGTGAGTCGGCCCGGTTCACCGGAGCCGTGTTCACGTTTAAAAGGCGATGTGTTGAAAGCTGCTGGTGGTTTACAGAGGGTGTGTCGTTGTTGTGACCCAGTGGTTTTGTCACTGACTGCTTGCTCTGATAGGTACCGGTGACACAAATTAATCACGGCCCCGGTTTTAAACACCATTTTCCTTTTTCACATGTTTAACAGGCGTCATATGTTTGGGCCATATAACAGCATTATAAAGGAAAATTCACCAGTGTAGTCTATGAAGAGCCGTTTTTCTAGTGCAAAAATTCAAAGCTAATATAAGTGTATGTAGTAATGTTTTGTTAGTAATTTATTACACCAGAAAAATACCATGAAATGCTTAGTCACTATAAACCACACTACATCATACTGAGTAAAGGCACCCTACTCACTTGGACTGTTCTAACGATGTAGTCTCTACCATTAAAGGGTGACTTCACCCATTTTCAAAATTCATACATTTTATTCCCATGGTCTAAGACAGGCCAAAAATATTGATAAGAATGAACAACTCTCTCCCAACTCCTAAAACCAGAGTGCCAAAACTCAAATTTGTGATGTCATCGGTAGGGATGCACAACAATATTGGCACAATGAACCATCAGATTGGCCAACATGCTTTTTCATATTTTGCACAATGAATGAATATTACATACATTGAAAAGTATTGTATCTCATGTCTCCATCTGGTGGTGGGCCATCATGATAAGAGCATGCATGCATAATACAGAAGAGACTTGATGATCACTAAAATTAGGTGGGGGAAAAAGTGGATATATCGATATTGGTATCAATTATCAATCAAATAAGTTGACATATATCGGCATATTGGATACTGGCAAAAAAAAAATCCAATATTGTGCATACCTAGACCAGTGGTTCTCAAATTGTGTGTCGTGGGATTTGGTGATAACTACACATTATTATGGCAATATTCAACTGGGCCCATACAAAAAGTTATGAGTGAATTTTTAATTAACTGTGTCAGTATGTTGAGAGCACCCATTTCCTAATAAAGAGGCAATATATTCATATATACATATTCTATATCCATATGTGCATAATTGAAAGATGTATATAGTGTAAATAGTATTGAGTGTATAGTTTATATTTTATATTTTTCTAAGTCAGATATATATCTTTTTGTATTTTATCTTTTTTATATAAGTATTCTATTGCCATTGAACTTGCTTGTCTATCTGTGCCATTTGAGCTGCTGTAACACGTAAAATTCCCCGGTGTGGGATCAATAAAGTTTTATCTTATCTTATCTTATCTTATATTACAGCGGTGTTATTCTGCTCCAGTGTATGAATATACACTGCAACGCGGCGTTATGGAATCAAAAGAGGCATGACCTGTAACACAACAACCTCAGTCTCTAGTGGGACATAAAACATATGCATCACACAGCACTTTTTAAACGACAATGATGGTATTAATTTGTCAGTAACAATCATTCACCATCCCTGTTATGTGGTGGCTGATCTTGTCGTTTGCCTGGAGGGTAAGGAGTGCCCAGACCTTATTGTTTTCCCAATTCATACACACTTCTGGCCACTGTTCTTCCTCTTTTAGTTAGCTGCTAACTGCTATCAGCTACTTCGTAAATCTCCAGTGGTGGGTCGCACATATAACATGTTATCATGTCCTTTATGTCCTTTTTGGTGCTGTTACTACCTCCCATGGTGGCTTAAAGGCAACACCACTCTGGCACCCCTTTCCACATTCGTACCTTTCATACAGAATTGGTAAGGCGGCATGGCGTGATATTTCTGGTCTGAACAGGCAGTGTAGAGGGGGCTACTAAGAGCACCCAGGGGAATATTCTGAGTATATGGGTACACGTTCTGTGTCAGAACTGAGAACAGTACAATAATTAAGCTCATTTGGGTATAAAATAGGAAAAAAAACATTTTGTGGGTCCACAAAATCTGACTTTATTTCCTATGACATCACAAATTTGAGACTTCTGGTTCCTGGCTTTGAGAGAGAGCAGCTCATGTTCACAAATATTGATTGAACTTTCCTAGGCCATGGAAATATCATACTGGAATTTTTAATTTAGGTGGTGTTGCCCTTTGACAAAGGCTTCAAGCATCTCTCAGCTGTTTGGTTGCTTATTAGTGGATATCATTATGTAGGTCAAGTCCTGAAAGACTTTTAGGGGGAAAACACAAGACACTGAAGACTGGAGATGTGTAGTCAGGCTACTCATGATGCAGAAATCACATGTGTGTTTGCTATAGGGCTGAAAACATAGCTCCAGAGCATGTCCATGGATCATTTGCTTGTAATCAAATGCATGGTGCAGGGTGATGATAAGCTGCTTTTGCATATACAGACTGAATGGTAAATCAGTCTCAGGGAGAGTAGGAGTCAGAAGCAAACTGGGGACAACCTTGCAGGGACCACACAAGTTTTACTTATCATTGTTTTACACTCATATTGTAAATTCTGTACATGTTCAAGTTCTCTCACACTGGGGGTCTCCCTCAGACAAAATCCCAGTGATTCATGGCCCGACGTGTATTAAATATTAAAACAGTTTTGGGGATTTCTAGCCTGAAGAGTTACTCACTATTAATCTCTGTTACTTTGCCACTGTAAGAACGCATTCAGTTAATGTTGGCAAGAGTGTGAGCTATAGACCGTCACCAGGTTGAATGGTCTGGTGTGAACAGCAGCGTCTGTTGCCAGAGCAGCACACAGCAGAAACCCCACTGTGCTCCAGCATGGTCATTTTTTGACTGTAGTGCTGAGAAAGCCCACGGTTTGTCGTAATAACAGATCACATCACTTTGCCCTGCTTGTCATCAGAAATGCAATGTAGGTTACACTGCTTGAATGCATGCGTAAATACTGACACATTGGAGCTTATCCCAATATTATTATGCAGAAAGCTGCCTGAGGATTTTAATATTAAGCTCAAAGGCTGTGCTGTTATCACATTTTATTTAAGGTCTCGCAGGTACATTTGTGGCCAATGCAATTGAGTTAGACAGGAAATGTGAGGAAGTGCCTCTGTTGGTTATTAGGAGCAGTGGGCTAGAGGTTAAACCAGGTGGCTGACATGCTCATTTAAACATGTTCACTTTGGGATACTTTACATTTCAGTAAATTGGATTATTAAATGATTATCTTCATCTTGGTCGCTTGACCCTTTTGTGTCACTACATGGTTTCATTTATAATCTTGTGGATAAACAAAATTAAGTAGCAGTCTTACAAACCATGCTTCCTGCACCCCAATTCCAAATTCTTTAAATGTTTTTGCAGATCGATGATGCTCACAAATCATCAGTTTGGAATTTGCTTTGAACTTTGTTGCAGTGAAATTCATACACCAACTTTCACAGCTAAAGGAAATGAAAAACCGCACATCATAGGAGGTGTTGCAGATTGACAACAGACGTGCCCAGGTCTGATTTTGATGTGCGATAGATGTGTCCTTCCCGTATAACAGCAGTCGTCAAGTCGAGAGAAAAAAATCACTGACATGTTGTGGAGATTTTGTTCCGTACTGCATGAAGCAAGGTTGGAAAGTAGACTAACAAAACACGTGTATTTGTAGTGGATAATGGGGGAAAAAAATGCGAGATGGCTTGATCATAGCTTCTTAAAGCCATGTCCATTCTCATCGCATCATATTAGCTCTGTCTGTTATGATGCCCATAATTTTACCATGTCTTTTGTGTGCGTCACATGATGTGACTAATAAGTATATACAATGTCCACTTTTTGGAAAAAGCTTGCATCGCCCAAATCAGATGTGTAGCTGAATGAGACAAAGACAATGATGAAAACTTTGAAGATGCAATGATCAGTCTATCCAATTGATAAGTCGATTGAAAGAAAAATGAATTGCCTGCCAACTACTTATAGATGTACACAGGAAAGCCATCGCATGTCTGTCCATCCTGGGGAGAGGGATCCCTCCTCAGTTGTTCTTCCTTGGTTTGGTTTCCTACACTTTTTCCCCATTTAAGGGTTTCTTGGGGGATCTGCTGTGAGGGTCCAACCCTTTTGATTCTTTTGACCTGAGGACCCTCACGGACTAAAGGTATATGAATGACTTACAGGGTAATTGAGGAATGGACACATAATTTGAGGTAGCCAACAACCTGGTGTTACACAGCTAAAGAACTACTACTACAAAAAAGTACTTGGCAACCAGACCAGGCTTCTAATTGAGACAGGCGATTAATTGTCAGAATGTGTAGCCACACCGAGCTAGTAAAAGGGACTCTGCATTTAATTGGGACAAGGCTTTTGATTAAAATTTTACAGTGTATTAATAAAATTAATTGAACTGAACTATTTTGATATTAGAATAAATTGTTTAAAAATTTTTTTTTCAATTTATTTATTTATTTTGTATTAATTTCCCGTCCTCCCATGCCTTGAAGAAAATATGAAATAATGGTTACTTGTAAAAAAAAATAAAAAAAAAAAAGAATAAATTGTTTCAGTCATTTTTCAAGCAAAAATGTCAAATATTTGCTGGTTTCAGCTTCTTAAATGTGAGAATTTGCTGCTTTTCTTTGCTATTTATGACTAATAACAAAGAGTCTTTGGGTTTCAGACACTTGGTTGGACAAAAGAAGCAAACTGAAGATGCCGGGGTGTCGGTGGCTTAGTGGTAGAGCAGGCGCCCCATGTACAAGGCTGTTGCCGCAGCGGCCCGGGTTCGACTCCAGCCTGTGGCCTTTTGCTGCATGTCACTCCCTTGTCCCC